TGTGTGTGTGTGTGTGTGTGTGTGTGTGTGTGTCCTGCTCACCAAAAGGATCATAAAAGCAGGAAGCTTACAACACAAGAAACAGATCTTTCAGATAGGATGTATCTACAATAAAACCTCCCCCAGCACAGAGTAGCTGGAGAGGTGGAACATCTTTGATCGTATAGTTTGAACAAATTTAAGAAACACAATGACAACATTCAACAATTTGACTCCAACAGAATGAGCGCATAAAAACCCTCACATGCTGGTCAGGAGTTCCACATGAACTTGAACAATCCATTACTGGAATCCTGAACTGGAAGCAATAAACTCATCTACAATGTGTTAGTAAAGAGTGACGTGTACTTCTGTCCAATTAAGCAACGGTTTAACAAATTTCACTGCAAACTATAAAAGGAATCTGGGTTTAAATAGAACATAGCAGTGTTGGATTAAGTGCAGGAAACACTATAAGGTGTCTATGGAACAAAGCTCCTTCAACATTCACAGTGACCAAAGTGGATGACTACAGGCATTTCTCTCAGTCAGCTGATTGTGTTTAGGGAAAAAGCAGCTAAATACACTGAGATTGCGCTGCGATGTTTGTGAGCTGTGGGTTTTGTCAAACTTGGAGTGAACAAAGCAGAAAAACAGTAAAAGATTCAGACATTGAAATTCTGGTTTATTTCATGAATACAGTGAAACATTTTACAGTCCACAGAGCAAAGTAGCATACACGATAAATGGATACACATAACACAGACAGTGATAAGTAAAACTCATCGTCTTACCAGATGTTATATTCTGTAAACTTAAAATAAACCCCTGAAATTAGAGTTTAATGGGCTGCTGTTAGTCCTTGTACAACGGGTGCGCAGCTCAATTGACCCATCGGGGTCCACCAGGCAAATGCTCAGTATGACAGACAGTCAGAAGAGAGAGCGCATTCTTAAATTTCTCTTAGAGTGACAGCTGTGCATCGCAGGACTTTTCTGACTGCAGGTGCACAAACAAAGTGATCAGAACGACTTTGCTAAACAAAATCTATTCTAATCCAGCTAAAAGAAACCTTATTCTAAAATCATTTGAAATTGGGACAATTAAGGTTATACAAAGAAAATGTATCTCACTCCCCCTTCCTCCTAAAGTAATGAAATCAATTTCAAGGTCATAAACTTGGTGTCCCCAACTAATGAATTCCTGTCTGCCAAAAACAGATTACTGGTATTTGCCAAAAAGTGATTGTAACTAAGCTATAAATAACTTGTTGGTCTATAATATGTGAAAAAGATTTCAAAAATATCCCTCATGAATGATATCAAGTCATCTTGAGCCACGAACAAGATTCCTGTCACAAGGTAGAAGCTGCAATTAGTTTTTGGCAGTGACTTTTATATATCCTTTATGCTGTTAAAAATCTCTTTGACATTAAAAATGTCTTTTTTAAGAGTAATCTGAGCAAAAGGAAAGCAGAAAAGGCAACAAATATAGCAACAGTTACTGTAAACATATTTTAAGTGACCGGATCGGTTATAATGTATGTCCCTAACACAGAGTAATAAAGATACTTGAAATGCAGGAAACTTTAAATCTTATGTATAACCCCTTTGTAAATCCTGTTTACTGAAGTCTATTCACCAATATAAGTAAAGACATTACACATAAAAAACACGGGAACATCACGAATGATGAATCGGAAATTGCGTTTATTTCCGTTTCCGTTTTATGCTCCGTTGACAGTTACAAGTCCGTATGTGCTGTAGGTAGCCGGTGAAGTGAGTAGCGCTATAAAACCATTTAGAAAAAGCCATGGAAGACAAGGCTCAGATACAAGAAGCGATTAAAAGTCAAGGGGAAGTCGTCCGGAAGTTAAAATCAGAGAAGGCGAGCAAAGAGCAGGTCCGTACTAAGATTTACACTTAATATTAATTATGATGTTAAGACAAGTGAGTTACAGCATGCTGCGCCATGCTTCGGCATTTTAACTGATTGGTTGTTTGCTAGCTAGATTAGCTATATAATACATGTAGAAGGTTTTCATACTCGCAGTTTAGCTCTCGGTCTTGGAATACATGCTGTTAGCATCTGACTCAGTACTGTCTGATTATTAATCAGTTCTCATTTCGATATAGATTATGCTCAATAACTTGGCTTTCCGAAAAAATGGAAGGCGCTTATATTTAGAAAACAATATCCGCTAAATTCAGGTTTCAGGGAGAAGGAGACTACACTTCCCAAAAGCCAGTTTTTTTTTATTCCACCATAGAGTTAGCTTACAGGAAAAGTCCTGCGCTCTAATCGGTCCGGCCTCCTTCATTCAGCCCAGTTAGCTAGCGGATGTTAACATGCATGTTGGCACCTATTATGTAATTAATTAACGAATTAGATAACAATGATATAGCTTTTTATTTTCTTCACGGCTTTAAAACGTGGATTTTCAACGTTCTTATTCTCGTTATGGAAATGTGTAAGGAGAGCTGATGCAATAACACGCATGCGTTAACACGGGCATTATCAGAGCCTGTGACCACTGAGAATATGTAGCTGATACCACAATAAATACCAAATGTATGGGACGGTGCAGAAGCGTTTATTATTAGCAAACACTAAGACGATCAAGACATCTTCTAGGGGCCAGTGTTTGTTTTAGCCCGTCATAAATCCTCGTAGAACAACATGAATTAAAAACGTGCCCTTGGTGTTATTCAGGAATCTTCTAGACTGGACCGTAGAGCATATTCTTATTTCTCAGAGAAGATGCCTTAGCTGAGTCGTTCAGACAGCAGCCTCATCCATTTCCTGTCTTTTATCTGAATTGTTTGATGTTAGTTCTGACTCGCTTTATGAAAATGACACCATAGAGATTCATTGAGACTAAGTTACAAATGCTTGCTGACAGGTAGAGTTTGCTAAATGCAATAAAAGGGTTAAAGCAGCAACAGTAGACATGATAACCAACTTTTTGTGGCTGTGGACAATAAGTGAAGGAAAGCGCTATACAAACACAGGAAAAAAAAAAGGAATCATAGATTTTTTAAAAAAGTTCAAGAGGTGCATCTGTGCACTTGTTGTCTAAATCAGTTTTTATCACATTAGTGAAAGACTGTTTGTTTGCCGGGTGGGTGGGGGGCTGTTGGGCTGCTGTGATTGACTTGCTGCATCTCGTGTTCTGTTCTCCTCACTGTGGTGATGATGCATCATGCCCCACCCTCTCCTAGTGATAGGGTTGCTTACCACTTTTCTCCTGTTCTTCCTGCCTGACCTGTGGTGACCTTGGCCTGTCACACGATTCATCATCTCCACCATCTACTTCACCGTCTGGTTAATCCAACCCTCCTGACTGGCTGCTGCGGTTGGCTCTGTACAACACCACTGGATTATGCTGCACTCTTGATGCACTCTGATCTTTTTTTGGTCCTACTTTACTTTATTTTTTTTTAAAATCCATACCATTTTCCTGCACTGTGGAATAACCATGCTGGGCATGATCTGGGTTCGTGCCTGCTCCGCTCTGGTGGGCTTTCGGGCTCCCACATGTGTCCGATCTCTTCACTCTTTCCCTGGGATCACTGTGGCTCAGGTAGGCTGCTGTCCATGTGTTTATTTGACAAGATGTATTCATAATTTTTCACGCTACAGTTGTTAAATACAGTATAAAACCTCTGAACACTTTATATTTTGATCTGTGTTCTCATGCAGATTGATGAAGAGGTAGCTAAACTGCTGGAACTAAAGGCTCAGTTAGGAGATGATGGCAAAACCCAATTTGTCCTTAAAACACCAAAGGTAAGATTAAAGTATTCTTGTATTTAAGGAAATACACTTTTATATTTACAGAATATTCTGTGGCACAGGCCTGGTATCGTCTGTATTAGGACAAGACAAACACAACCATTTAACTTTATGTCACATGTGTAAAGCTTATCTTACTATCTCAGCATGACTTGGTGGAATAAAAGGAGCTCTCAATGGCAAAGTACCCGCTACCTTTATATTCGGGCACATACCATTTGATTAAAAGCTTGTTGTAAGTAGAAGCAGGCGTAGCTTTGGTTACAGAGAAGCCTGTCTGTGAGATCATTGGCACCAAGTGGCTGCATTATAATTAAAAAAAATATAATAGCTTGTTACCAAAGATCAGATCAAAGAACCTCTTCATAAGAGTGGGTTTAACGAATCAAACTTTAGTGTCGGTAGTCAAAAATGCAAGGATCAGACTACCCCAAATTGTGTCATCAAAGTACATGATGCTTTATGTGGATATCTGCTTATCCTTTAATCAATCACATCTCTTCTAGAGGACCAGAAAATGTCTGTATGGTAAGCTTTCCAATGGTGTGTTACAACCCCAGTGGCTCTAAGTTAGATTTCTTTTTAATGTAAAAAGTTACATGGATTCAGTCACCCAGGCTTAGGACAGCGACCATTTACAACCTCTGGTAGGCTGAGTGGTTACTGGTTACCGCACGGTGAAATCTGTTACAAAGAGGATGCTGAACAAAAAAATGACAACAAACAACAAGTGCATACATATTCTCACAATAGAATTATTTGATTGACAATGTGCGTTTGTCAGGGAACGAGAGACTACAACCCCAAACAGATGGCCATCAGAGAAAAAGTCTTCAACACCATCATCCGCTGCTTTAAACGACATGGAGCCGAGACCATCGACACACCTGTTTTTGAACTAAAGGTAGAGTTTGACTTAGTTTAACAAGTTTGCTGCTTGAAAAATAGGAATGGGAATCGGGTATTAGTTCTTTTAGCAAACCAGTTCCCAGTAGTTCAATTCCTTGGAATTGTTAGTCTGCCAGACTCTCAATCCCGCTTATCGGTTCCACTCGTACTTATGCTACAATTAGCTGACTACTTTCATTTTTATTGCACAAAAGAACCAGAGCGCAATGGTGAAGTGCAAACTACATTCAGGACCGAAACAACAGCTAACTGCTAAATAACGAAGTTGTGCCGCTAACACAACTTCGGCTCTTTGAAAGCACCTATCTGGTCTTTAAGTGATGACGTGATGAATCCTGCTTCCGGGCCCAAACTACCCTGTGTTTAATGAGGCTTTTGTGTTTTTAACATGTTTTAATGCTTTGTATCTTGTTCTATTTAATCTCAAAAGCCCCTAAAAACAGTCAGTGATCACTGTCGGCCTCTCTCGGTTTTTATTACCGCTATTCATTTTAAAGCTCAGCTTTTAAAACCATCGGGAACCCTCAAGTTAACTTTTATCGAGTGGAAAAAAGTTAACGTTCATCCTTCAGCTTCACTGGTTATGTTACGCTAACATAGCTGTAGGACATCATTATATACCAGCTAGCCCAGCTTCAGTAACCCTACAAACATCACTGCTGTTTAGTTTTCTGTCTTCATTTATGTTGGAAGTGACAGCAGAGCTGCACATTTGAATTTTGTCAAAAATCTCAGTCAGAACATGCAATGTCATGTTTAGGTGGAAAGTAGCGAGCTAACTTCCTGCTAACTTCTAACTCCGTTAAATGTATTAAATTCTGTTTTCATGGATGCCTGGATGTTAAACTGGATATTAAGAGTTTTACTCTCAGTGATGCCGCAGTGTTCGTTTGACTTTGGGCCCAGACACAGCTAATGACGTCAGGCTTAAAGGCCGGATACAGACTGCGTGCTAATCAGTTTTCAGTTTTATTTGTCATATGCAAGTTAGCACAGGGTCAACATTGCAATGACATGTATTTGATGAGCAGAAGACAGTCACTCAGCAGAATGGTACAGTAGAAAAAAAATAGTTAAGAGCAAAATATTAATAAAATATAGTAAAAGAAAAAAGATTAACAGTTAACAGACTAAATATGTATATA